CCCCAAAAGAACAAAACATTGATAGGCTCAAGAATTCGCTATTAAATCAATTCGCCGAAACGGCGTTCAAAAATAATGGTGAATTCCCACCAATGTTTGGCCCCACTGCTCATATACACCTCAAAGAAGAAGCAGTCCCCAAAGCCAGACATAACCCAATTCCTGTGCCTTTTCACTTCAAAGAGCCCGTAAGGCAGGCCCTTTGGGAAGATGTGAAAAGAGGTATCATAACCCCAGTACCCGTCGGCATGCCCACTGATTGGTGTAGCACTATGGTAATTACCACCAAGAAAAATGGCAAACCCCGAAGAACCATAGACTACCAACACTTGAATTCACAGTGCAAATGGGAAACACACCATACAGTGTCACCATTCCAGCTAGCACAACAAGTGCCACCTAAACAAAAGAAAACAGTGTTGGATGCTGTTGATGGATATCACTCCATACCCTTAGATAAAGAGTCCCAGCCACTCACCACCTTCATCACAGAATGGGGAAGGTTCATGTACCTGAGAATGCCACAAGGTTACCTAGCATCTGGCGATGCCTACACCCGAAGGTATGATGAAGTAATAAAAGACATCCCCCGCAAAGTAAAAATCGTGGATGACACCCTACTCTATGACTCTGACATCGAAGGAGCCTTTTTTCACACGTTCGATTTTCTCCTCCATTGTGCAAAAAACGGCATCCTAATAAATAGAGAAAAATTCCAATTTTGCCAAGACACGGTGCAGTTTGGGGGCCTCCAAATAACATCTTCTGGTGTAACCCCTTCTAAATCCATGCTGGAGGCAATATTAAGCTTCCCAATACCAAAAACGCTCACCGATGCCAGATCATGGTTTGGGCTGGTCAACCAAGTCGCTTGGGCATACTCACTGAGCCCAGTCACAAGCTTCCATTTCGTGATCTCGTAAAACGAGACTCACACTTTACGTGGAATAAAAGCCTTGAGGATGCATTCCAGCATTCAAAGAAGGTCATAGTTGACTTAGTCCGAAAAGCATCGCAACATTTCAAAAAGAACGAATAACCTGCCTTGCCCCAGATTGGAGCAAAGACGGAATGGGCTTCCTACTTCTGCAGAAGTATTGCTCATGCACCACTGACAAAGCCCCAGTTTGCTGCCCTGAAGGTTGGCGCCTGATATTTGCTGGTAGCAGATTCTGCATTGATGCTGAACGCAGATATGCACCTATTGAAGGCGAAGCAGCAGCAATTGCGTGGGCATTGGAAAAATGTCGCATTTTTGTAATGGGTTGCCCAAATCTCATAGTGGTTACAGATCATGAACCACTAAAAGGATTATTCGGAGATACAGACCTTAGTAAAATCCAAAAACCCCGATTATTCAGGTTAAAGGAGAAAACCCTCAGGTACAGATTCACCATTCAGCACTGCCCTGGAAAATGGCACAGAGCCTCCGATGCTGTCTCTCGTAACCCAGCAAACATCTCACAGGCACTCCTAAATGTATTCACTGCTGAACTCTCTCAATCAGACATCGTAGAGTCTGACAATATGGATGACTGGGTCAAATCAACAAACCTATTAGCAACATTTGGTGCAAATGACAACCTGGAGCTCATCTCACCAGACGTTATCCGTGCGGCGGGACGCAGCGACCCGCAATACAAAAAATTAATTGAGGTAATACAAAATGGATTCCAAAGGACGCGCAGCCTCACTGCACCCGAAATCCGCGAATACTAGGAAGTGAGGTACCGCCTAAGTTTTGACGATGGATTAGTGCTATTAGATCAAAGAATCGTTATCCCCACCTCTCAACGCGCAAAAGTCTTACATAGCCTACATTCTGCACACCAAGGTGAAGTTGGCATGAAGACACGTGCCAATGAATCTGTTTATTGGCCCGGGATGAATGCTTCAATACGTAACATTAGAGCAGGTTGTACGTTCTGCTCAAAAATTGCACCGAGTCAACCAAAAGAGCCAATCAACTTGACACCATCTCCTGATTGGCCATTTCAGCAAATCGTCATGGACATCATCCATGTTGGGAACCATGGCTACTTAGCATGCGCTGACAGGTTAACAGGCTGGCTAAATCTATACCACTTGAGCCACGGAGAAGCTAATGCGTCAAGGATTATTTCAATTTGCCGAGACATATTTCAAGCCTACGGTGCTCCCGAGGAACTCAGCATTGATGGTGGGCCACCCTTCACATCCTTTACATTCAAGCAATTTTTACAAGACTGGGCTGTCAAGCACAGGCTATCATCTGCAGGTTACCCACAATGCAATGGTCGGGCAGAGCTTGCTGTCAAAACGGCAAAGAGAATCGTAAATGGCAACACAGGAGCCCAAGGATCGTTGGACAATAATCGTGCAGCAAGAGCCATCCTCCAATACAGGAATACGCCCATTCAAAACATTCGGCTATCCCCTGCTCAACTACTAAATTTTTCTACAAGAATGTCCACCAATCACGACAGTAAAGAAGAGGAGGATAATGTTAATGAGAGAGAGAGAAATGAGGGAGATAGAAAGCGAGAGAGAAAGAGAGACTTATAGTGCGAATGACAAAAATAGCGAGAAAAATATTGATACACTGAGAATTGAGAGTATATAATGCATTTAGAAAAACATATAAGAATATTAACTGAATACGCCGGTTTCGTGAGATTGAGGATCTATGGCCCAGGGACATGTCCTAGGCAGTTCATATATATATATATATATATATATATATATATATATATATATATATATATATATTAAAGGTCGGTACTTGCCCGTACATCACGTCTCCATTCACCATGGAATCGATGTTGTCCAAGGGAGAGTCAGAGACCAATACATGCTAATATATATATATATATATATATATATATATATATATATATATATATATATATATATATATATATATATGTCTCTGTGTGTGTGTGTGTGTGTGTGTGTGTGTGTGTGTGTGTGTGTGTGTGTGTGTGTGTTTTTATGGTACAATATTTAACGGTAGCTAGGAATAAGCAAAATTATATGGCAATTTAAAAACGCTAAAAAATAACAAGCGGTTCTCTACCAGCCTTATCAAGTTTATTTTCTGGGATATAAAAATATATAAGTGTGTAAACTAAATTAATGTAATGAATGGAAAGAAAAAAAATGAATTTCAAGAAAACGAGAGTCCAATGACATTCAGACCCAATAAGCATTATCTCTGTTCACAAAGGGAAGACCCACGGGATCTGATATACAAGGACTTTAGAACCTTGAGGTTATATGAGAATTGGGACCTAGATAAAATCGAAAAACGGTCCGCACTAAAATCAAACACGCCATTCCTGTTATTTCTTATATGCTCTGCAATAACAGAGCCAGTAGTATTGTTTAATTGGCTTTTCCTGAAAAAGGAAAATATTACATAAACACATACATGCAATAAACTATTTCTTATTTAAGAGATAAAATATTTCATCCTTGAAAATGGGTAAATGTATAGCCGAAAGCGCTCGGAATAAAAGAACATTCAGACCGTTTTTTTTTTATAATTTATCATCTGAAAAAAAAAATCGATAACTTGAGAAATTGTATTAAAAAACTAAATCAAAGCACTTTATCTCTCGTTTTCACGAAAAATATATATATATATATATATATATATATATATATATATATATACTTTGTCTGTCGTATTCAATGAAATATATATATATATATATATATATACTTCGTCTGTCGTATTCACTGAAATATATATCTATATATCTATATATACTCTGTCGTATTCAATGAAATATATATATATATATATATATATATATATATATATGCATATACATTTATATATGTGTGTGCGTGTGTGTTTGTATGTGTGTGTGTATTAAGAATATGGGTAAATTATACATTAAATGACAATTCTAAAAAAGGTTCGGGAAAATATGCTTCGAAAAAAATATCCGATAAATTATTTCACCCATTTTGGGTATCATCAAATCGAAAATGAAAAAGTCAATTGCGAGTGTATGTATTTATGTGTGTATGTATTTGTGCTATCATTTTAAATAAACTCAGACATGCATACACAGTAATAATGGATAGCGGCTCGGATTGAGGAATCGGAGAACCCAATCGAATCCTATGATTATTTCATATATATGCTTATACCGTTGGGGAAGGTATGAATAAATTTCTTCTCCCTCTGAGCTATGGATAAATAGCAGCTCAGACTGGGTTCTATAGCCTTGAGTGGCAACAGGTATATAGCCCCGGTGTAGTACATACTACAGAGTTAAAGACAGGATCGTTCGCATTAGGATGATGAAGACAGAGCCAAAAAGTGGTAAAAGGCTGATAACTCGACAGTTATAAGGAAGAAGCAGTTCTGCTGATTTCTTGAAGACTGTAAATACAAAAGAGGACAGTATTTACATTAGTCGGACTATTGTCATCATCTTTGTCGCCATATTTGTCACAACGTTTCGGCCGTTGTACGCTCCTGTCTTCTTCAGGTGGTTGGAATTTCGAACTGAACTCTTTATTTCGATCACTGTACAATAGTCCGACTAATGTAAATACTGTACATAATACCTCATCTCAGAAATATAGACATACTAAAAAAGAGGATTACTAATAACCAGGTAAGCAAGAAGCATATTAACTCTATATATGGTGGCCTCTTCCGTTGTATTCGCCGTATCAGGGTCAAGCAGTCCAGTTCCTAGGAACCAACAGCATATATGTTTTGATTATAGTGGTGACGGGACGAATGCAGAGACATGATGCACTACGTGACAGAAAGTCCTCAAACGACCCTTCGCAGATTTTGAGTTCATGTATATATATATATATATATATATATATATATATATATATTCTTGAATCATTCATACAAAAAAAACAAATATAGAGGTTAATTAACCTCTATATTTTTTTTTTATGAATTATTCATAAATTTATAAATTAAAATTACACCTATAATTGAAATTAATATATATATATATATATATATATATATATATATATATATATATATATATATATATATATATAATATAAATTTACTTATTTAAAAAATATGCTTCCATCGCTAGACAGGAAAGTCCTAGTTCTGTTTCATGTTCAAACGTATTATGAAATAACTTATTTTGAAATTTACTAAGCACATACATCCACAATATTATTTTGTATGGATATGGGGTAATCCAACCATTTTAACAAGGGCCGGTAGGGTAATCTTCTTCACTAACATCTATTATATCAAAAATTATGAGTTACTTTCGAAAAAAAGTTAATTCAAGTTATGGTAGGGGTAAACACCAGATTATATATCTTACAGTTCTTGCTTTTTATTATATATATATATATATATATATATATATATATATATATATATATATATATATATATATATATATATTCTAGGATCATTTTCGGGGTTATTCAACATTTATATAAATACGGTTTAATCACTTGCAAAATTTTTCGATAGTAGATTCAAAATTATTTAATCAGTCATCGGAACACTCGACAGGAATGATCCTAATTGTTGAAAATCGATGAGTGACTGTTAATCATTGCATTGCATATTTGTAACATCAAAATTCTCGCCATAGTATTTTTAGAATCAAACCCTTGAAACATATCTTGGATACTTCATGTCAATTCTTCAACAATCAGACGTTTGACTCATATACTCTGCGATATAAAAGTTTATACATTATACAGTATTTTAGAAGTCATCACATTTTTTTCACACGATTCTATTACTTAGGATTTCGAATGTTTGCCCTGAAACCATCTTTTGTCTATTCCGAAGCGCTTTCACATTTCAACATCTGTTTCTACAGAACGCAGTTAAATTTCTTTACCTTATTGTCATATCTAACATTCTGCGACGTCTCTTTTGATGAAAACCGTGTATGTAATGCACTCTGCTCTTCAATATATCCATAATTTGAAATACTTCCCAGGCATGAACCCGATTTTATGTGCGAAACGACGGTCTCCAGATTTATTCAGAAGAATTAGTTCACAAATTTCACAGAGAGGAACCATTGAGCAGACAAACCTCATATCCGTTTCCTGTCCAAACCGAAGTAATAAAGAGGTAGGATTTACGACGATTAATCGAAGTAGGATGCATGGAAATATGATTCAATACCACACACACAAACACACACAGACATAATATATATATATATATATATATATATATATATATATATATATATAAAAGAAAAAGGCGAAAAAACTGTTCTCAGCCGACGCGTTTCGTACACTAAGGGACTTTACCAAGGCTTTTAAATTTGAGAACTTTCATAAATGCTCATCAGGTGGATGAAAGTTCAGTCAAAACACGTAGAGGACACAAAGTGCCATAATTAATATCTGGAGAAAAGTAAGTGAGCAATATTCAAGATTTTTTTAAAATGAATATTCTTAGAATTGAGATTAAATTGTTTGTTGAGAGATGGAGGTATGTGCTGTACATCTTCAAAAATATAAGCCCGCACTACCCTTTATAAATATATCTGGCAATTATAGAATGGTAAACCACCCAGTATCATATATATATATATATATATAGATGCGTTTAGTATTCACATGAATCGGCCAAATACTTCGATTTATTGAGCATTAAAATTAAGGAACATTAATGTCTGTTGTCTAAAAAACACGATTACTTGAAATTAAATGCATGTTTATAAATATTTAAACTGAAACACACACACACACACACACACACACGCACACACACACACACACACACACACACACACACATATATATATATATATATATATATATATATATATATATATATATATAAAGGGCTCAAACACTAATATTCAATGGTTATAATTTATTACATTGGAAGTGTAAACACGATCAAATCATCAGACCTACAAATTGAAAAATATTTGAATTTGTAGGTCTGATGATTTGGATCGCGATTACGGATTCCAATGTAATAAATTATATCCATGAAATATTAGTGTTTGAGTCATTTATATTATATTCTTACTCTGTGCTGCTGGACATTGAATTCTACCTGGAGTCTATCCTCTTGGGAAATTATATATATATATATATATATATATATATATATATATATATATATATTTTTATCTATTTTTATCTATCTATCTATCTATATATATATATATATATATATATATATATATATATATATATATATTTTTTTTTTTTGGAGGACGAAACACGTAGGGTAAGAAGAGTTTTTTTCTTGCCTTTTTTATTCATTTTGTCTGTACTACAAAATGAACTCAATCTGAGAATATTTACACATTGTCGACATGGGAAAACAAAAACACAAGCACATAGTCCGGAAAAAACTTGCAGTTACTAATAACCGCTCATTGCTTTGATAAAAATACCCTCAAAGGACGGAACACGTCCACTAAGTATAGTTTCCCTCTTTTCCATTTTTACTTATATATATATATATATATATGTTTGTTTGTGTGTATATATATATATATACACACATATATATATATACATATATGCGTGTGTATATAAATATATATTTATTAAAGACATTTTTATGTTTAACGTTCTTTTTTATAGATACAAGTATTTAAGTAAATGCTCTGTTAATAATAAACAGTATTAAATAACATTTACCGGCCTGAATGTCCGAGAAATTTTCATAGAAAATATTCGTTCTTTGACAGGATTCGAACTTGCATCCTATACGGAACCGTCATTTACGCTGACATGCCTTACCGATCGGCCACAAAGAAGCGTTCGGTAGACAAGGTCGAATTTACTGCTTCAATCTTCCATGAATCTCGTACATTCATAACTGCTCTGGCGTATCGAATGTAAACAAATGACGTCATATATTAAGAAATGGACAAGGTCCGACAATTTATTTATTAAAGACATTTTTATGTTTAACGTTCTTTTTTATAGATAAACATAAAAATGTCTTTAATAAATAAATTGCCGGACTTTGTCCTTTAATATATTTATATATATATATATATATATATATATATATATATATATATATATATATATACTTGCTCAGTATCAATAGTGAAAAGGGTGTTAATTTTAAGTGAACTTGAGGAACGTATTTCCCGAGAAATTACTTTCGTAGTAAATTTTTATGAATTTGAGATGATAATAGCTTTGTCCGTTGGGTCAATGCATGCCGAATGTCTACGTATTAGAATACTGTAATTAATGCCATTACCATTATGACATGAAAAGCACTAACAAGCTTTAGAAAATAGTTTCGTGTCCCTTCAATAGGAAAGCGTTCATGGCCATCAACACCATCCTGTCTCTTGTAGCTCTTAATAAGTTTTTCTTTTTCTTATTTCTCCTAACACTTGTTCTGCCATTCATTTGCTCAAAGCCATTAAGTATGTCAGGTCTTGCTTTCCGCTGTCCCTCTTTCCCTCTATCAGTCCTGTGAGTATCAGATTTTCCAAACCTTCCTTTCTCATTACTTCTCCCAGAAATGTCAGCTGCCTCATCCTGATGTTATGTATAAGTTACCTTATTGTTTCCATTCTCTTGAAAACCTCGTCGTTGCTTCAATTTTCTGTTCATGATATCCATTGCATCCTTCTGGAGAACCACATTTCTGTGGCTTCTAGTCTCTTCTTCATCTTTGATGAGTTTGCTCAGCATTCGCTGCCTTACGAGGAAAGATATCACCTAACAGTTCAGTACTGAACTGATATGCATTATCAGTCCTCCCGTATAACAGTGAATGCTGGATAATCTTATTACAGATGAAGAAGAGACTTGAAGCAAATTTTCTAATTTGATACTCACATGACAGAGGAAAACAAAGCATAACCGACATGGCGAAGTCGAGCGACTTGATGACAGTGCCAGTTGGTAACAGAGAATCATGTCAGCCCGAGAAAAGACTCCGAATTGGTTGTAGGTGGTGGAAGCACAAAGAGTTGCATCTTCAACCACTGTAGGCTGTTAAGAGAAGATCTTCTACTTAGGGTAGGTGGCGCTGGCTATTAGGAATATTTGTACATGAACGATACTATGCAGATATTAGTCAATAGTCAGTGTGGGTCTGGGATTTGGTTTTTCTCATTCGGGTGAGAGTACTCCCGATGAGAGTTTAAACTGCTCCCTCGTGGTATACACATTCTGATACTTACTTGTCAAAGGGATCCGTCCCTGTGCTGGGAGTATCACACCTATGAATAACTTTGAACCGCCATGACTAGCTTAGACCAGCTCTGACCAGCTTGGACAAGCTACGACCAGCGGCCCGAGTAAAGACACTCGGGTCCCCACGTTAAAAACCGAACTTGTGTCACAAGCTGACTCAATGGGTGGAGGGGTCCAGTAAATACAGAGTGCTCCAGATAAGTGCGTAAACCACTCTTGAGTGTGTAAATACCTCTCCCTCGAGGGGTATACACATTCGGATTTTACCGGTCACAAGGATCCGTCCATGTGCTGGTAGTATCATACCTATGACTAACTTTGAGCAGCTATGACCACCTATGACTAGCTTAGACCAGTTATGACAAGCTTGTACAAGCTGTGACCAGCTACAACCACCGGCTTCAGTGAAGACATTTGGGTCCTCACGTTAAAAACCGACCTTGTTTCACAACCTGACTCAGTGAGGTGTGGGGTCAAGTAAATACGGAGAGAGCTCCCGATGTGCGGACGTGCGAATACAAGGGTTTTGGAGATAATAAAAAGAGAAAATTTATAAAGTGATACATAAGACAGGAAATTGTGGAGAGTCATGATCACCTACGTCTTGAACGGATACAGCACATGAAATATAATGTACCGATCCTTGCGGTAGAAACACTGCCGTTACAAACACAAATAATGCAAAATTATTGCATAAGTATTGCTATTGTATAAAGTGACTAATGCTCACTATACAAAGTAAAAAAAAATCAAAAATATCTAGAGTAATATCATACGCTTGTACGAAGCTCTGCTCACAGTTCACACATTATTTGTACTGACAGTAAGAATATCCTCAGGAGCAAAGGAACAAAGAGAAAAAAAACGCTCGCTGAAGGTGGAAGAACTACATGAAAATATCGAGTCGCTGTCCAGAACGAAAAGAGATAAAGAAAGCGGAAAGGAAAGAACAACGCGACAAAAATGGCGGAAACGGAAATCAAACGTTCTAATGCTAAAAGCAAAAGATCAACTCACTCTGTCATTCTAAATTCCCGCCCAAAATTGAAAATGATTTTACCTGGAGTCAAGCGGAAAAATACCTGAACGAACAACATTAAATCGAAAATTTCTTAAAAATAACTGTCAAGTTTACCAAGAACACACTTAGGAAACTCTTAATACAGGTTTCAATAAAAGTATGCCGCATGACCCAAACAAATTAACATTATATATTTGTCGTACATACATATACTTAACCATAAACACATATATATATATATATATATATATATATATATATATATATATATATATATATATATATATATAAAATAATAATAATAATAATAATAATAATAATAAAAAATAATAAAAAGACTTAAACATTAATATTCCATGATCATAATTTATTCCATTGGAATCGTAAATATGATCCAATTCATCAGACCTACAAATTCAAAAAGAAAACAGAAAAAACAACTCCGGGAATAAAAAATAAAATTTAGTGAGAGTGTATGTATGAGAGTGTGGGATATATATTTTAGACATATGATTGTATGTGTATATGTATATTTTATATATATATTATATATATATATATATATATATATATATATATATATTTACCTATCTATCATATATATATATATATATATATATATATATATATATATATATATATATATTATAAATTAATTGATTTAAAATATGTTTTTTTTTCGCTACACAGTTCTAAGCATGTTTCAAAATGGAAGCTAAAAAGCCCCCGAATTTAATTTTGTAATTTAATTTTGTAATTAAATTAAAGACATTAGTTCCATTTCATCCTCAAGCGAATTTTGGAGTAACTTTTAAAATTACTGGGTTTTAAAGACACAGCTAAAATCATAATTCATATTTCCAAGGTTACAGATAAATCGACTTTCACTGGTTACTCCAAAATTCTCTTGGAAAGTAATTATGCATCCTTATCGCTCAAAGTGGAGTCCAATATTGTCATAAAAACCTCGGAGAATTCCAGTAAGATAGTTTTAATCATTTCTAAGATAAAACTTTGAAAACGTAATTTAACAATTGGACATGTTTTTCTGTTACACGATTTGGGCAATTCTGCTGCTATACCCGATATATATATATATATATATATATATATATATATATATATATATATATATGTGTGTGTGTGTGTGTGTGTGTGTGTGTGTGTGTGTGTGTGTGTGTGTGTGTGTCATGTTAACGGCTAGAAATGAGAAGGAGGAGGAGAATACTGTTCGGATTACAGTCGAATTCATTGAATTCTCTTACGCGCAAATACCCATGAAAAAATATGAATTCCTCTTCTCCCCAACTACGTGTTATATGGTAGGAGAGACTAGGCTCCTCTGCCGTGGTCCATAACAAGTCTAGTAGAATAAAAACTCTGAAATAAAAGTTTCTCGAGCTTATTGGAAAATAACTCCATTTCGTAAAAAAACAAATATTACTATTAGCAGCAATATCAGTATGCTCAGAGTTATGTCCCTTAGTAGCATCGCACATTATGGAGAGCTATGGCCTCCCTTATCCGGAAGTATCCTGCGTATAAGTTGCTTGTTTCTTCCATGTCGAACTGATAAGAGACAATTTCCTGTGTATTCAATGACGTAAACATCATTGTCTCCGTTTCCATTCTTTTTTCTTTCATTTATTGTATTTATTCGTTCTACTCAGTTTTAGGGATTCTCTGTTCTATTTCCCTTTGTTTTTAAGAATTTCCTTTCTTGTTATTATTCAAATATATTATATGTCGCCTTGTTTTGTTTTCTTTATTTATAAATAAATAAAAGTCTGACTGAAATAATAACATTAATAAATAAAGACAAAGAACTAATAAAAAAGAAAGCAATCAAAGAATGAATGTAAATTATGACTTCCTACTTTTAAGCGTTCTTAAATGTCATAGATATGTTATATTCAAACCATGTTATTTTTCTATTTCTTTCTTTCTTTTCATTGGTTTTCCCCTTTTCTATCATTAATTTTTTTCTCTCAATCAGTCTTTATTTTATTCACAGCGTTGTATTCATTCATTAATTATTGTATTTTACGCATACTAAACTGTTATATACCGTAACTATGAACAGTAATGTGTATGTCCCAATTCACATAAATACGTTGGACGCTATTGTAAGTGGGCGTAATATGCTGTCTAAGTAGTTCACTACTAGCTGTGGTTTACCTACTTGACGCCGCTGGCGAGTATTGTATTTTGTTGATTTTATAATGATTACTATTTCATTTCCAACCTCTGTTTTTGGTATTTCTCATTCAGTAACCATTTCTAGGTTACATCATGAATATCTTTAAATAATTCTTCACTTTTTCAGCCCTTTTTTCTACTGTTTTCCGTTCTTTTTTCTTTATTTCTTTGTTTCTTTCTTTTTTGTTTCTTTCTCATTTTCAGCCGTCTTTTATTTAATGAATTTCGAAAGGATTTCATATTCAGTTCCTTCCTTTTCCCCAGTTCTTTTGTCTTCTTTCATACATTTTTTTTCTTTCGTTGCCTTTTTACTAATTATTGATTTTTTATCACAACTACATTCAATATAAAATAGGTTTTCTTTCTTTTTTCGTTGATTCTTTCTTTCTTACATTTTTTCATTTTATCTTTTTCAGTTTTTCACAAATTATTTATTGCATTTCGTAACTATTTGAATATAAAATTATGCTTTCTTACCTGCGTTTTTACATTCATTCAGTCACTGATTTATTCTGTCTTTTTTTCTAATTTTTCTTACCCAGATTTTTTTACAAATTCTTATTCATATCTCGCAAATACTTTAAATATAAAATATGGTTCCGTCTTATCTGATTTCCTTTCTCTAATTCTTTTTCTTTGATTTATTCCTTCTTTTTTTCTTTCTTTCTTTCATTCATTCATTCTTTGATTCTTTCGTTTTTTCTTTCTTTCTTTCATTCATTCATTCTTTGATTCTTTCGTTTTTTCTTTCTTTCTTTCATTCATTCATTCTTTGATTCCTTCTTTTTTTTTTCTTTTTTTTTTTCTTTGATTTCTTTTTTCTTTCTTTCTTTCATTCATTCATTCTTTGATTCCTTCTTTTTTTCTTTCTTTCTTTCATTCATTCATTCTTTGATTCCTTCTTTTTTTCTTTCTTTCTTTCATTCATTCATTCTTTGATTCCTTCTTTTTTTCTTTCTTTCTTTCATTCATTCATTCTTTGATTCTTTTTTTTTTCTTTCTTTCTTTCATTCATTCATTCTTTGATTCTTTTCCTTTCTTTTTTTCATTCTTTGATTCTTTCTTTTTTTTTTCTTTTCTTTCATTCATTCATTCTTTGATTCCTTCTTTTTTTTTTTTTTCTTTCATTCATTCATTCTTTTGATTCCTTCTTTTTTTTTCTTTCTTTCATTCATTCATTCTTTGATTCTTTCATTCATTCATTTTTTTTCTTTCTTCTTTTTTTCTTTCATTCATTCATTCTTTGATTCCTTCTTTTTTTCTTTCTTTCTTTCATTCATTCATTCTTTGATTCTTTCGTTTTTTCTTTCTTTCTTTCATTCATTCATTCTTTGATTCCTTCTTTTTTTCTTTCTTTCTTTCATTCATTCATTCTTTGATTCTTTCTTTTTTTCTTTCTTTCATTCATTCATTCTTTTTGATTCTTTCGTTTTTCTTTCTTTCTTTTCATTCATTCATTCTTTGATTCATTTTTTTTGATTCTTTCTTTCATTTTTTTCTTTCCAAACTTTTTTCAAAATTATTTACTTTTGTTTTTTCTTTCTTTATTTCGCAAATTCTTTGATTCTTTCGTTTTTTCTTTCTTTCTTTCATTCAATTTGATTCCTTCTTTTTTTCTTTTCTTTCTTTCATTCATTATTTTTTGATTCTTTTTTTTTATTTTTCATTCATTCATTCTTTGATTCTTTCGTTTTTTCTTTCCAAACTTTTTCAAAAATTATTTACTGTATTTCGCAAATACTTTAAATATGAATTTAGGCTTTCTTTCTTTTTGTCTTTCTTTACTTTTGATTCATTTTTTATTTATATTTTTCTTTTTCCTAAATATATGTTTCTTTCTCTCTTTCTCTAAAGTGAATACGTCGTTTTTGAATATTACCACATTCTACTGTAATCTGAAAACAGCAAATATTCTCCTCTCTTTACAAACTAACCCGAAAATCATCTTAGCAGTTTTGTTAAGCAAATCGAAAGAACATGAATTAAACATGACTAGATTTCCGTTATCCATCGATCCTATGCCAATCGTATTCATTCAACCCTTCGTTGCTTCCCGCTGATTTTTAGTCGTTCACGGCAAAAACAACTACAAGGAACATTTGTCCTGCCACCATCTCTAATTCATCTTATATTGTCAAACTAGAGATTTGTTAGTCAGCCGAACGTCCCGGTATCACGAGGTTTTATGAAGTCAGATCTTAACACTGTAACCATGTCTACCTCCTTATTATTTCGATTGAATTATTATCGTGAGCTGTTTCTCAACGCGCACAGTGACATCCCACATGGCGCCATTGTTGAGGTTTGAGATCACTTAAATAATTGTACGCCTCGGAAGTAATTTTCATGCCACGTTGATGGAGCTGATGTCGATGAGGAATAATGCATCTGTGTCTTGTCGATTGGCGTGGCGCGTGTGTGCGAATTCGCGGTTAATATATTCGATTAAAATTTTCATAGACGAGAGTGCATGATAAACAACAAGTCTCAACGGAGCACAGCAAATATGACAAAATAAATGTGTCATTATTACTATTATGTAATTGTTGAAGAATAGGGGTTATTGCGTATTTCCTGCTCTTCCCTACTACAGTGACAATGGACTAGCCCTACTTATAAATATGGCAAGTAGCCACATGAGAGTAAGAGCAGTCCATTTTCACAGTCGTAGGGAAGGGCAGAAGAATAATTCAAACACTATTTCTCTCTTTTCAACGTAATCCAATGAACTTGAGTTAAAAAGATTATTATTAGTTTTAATGATGTCAAATATTCTGTCAGAAAGTCTGGGATGACTACCTATCTTTACTAATATTATATAGAATCGGTCTAATGATTTCATCGTTGATGTGTCTATAAAAACGTTTCATTCCTTTTTGTACACTGTCTTGCTTCCGGTGTCGATGCAGGATCTTTTGGAATGTTAATTTCCTATGGATTTATATATATTATTTATATTAAAAAATTATGAATTTCAATATATATATATATATATATATATATATATATATATATATATATATATATAATAAATATGTACAAATAGAATTTAAAATTATCTTATGTTATGATCATTTCACCTTACGAATTAAGATTCACGCGCAAAGATTTTCAAACTGATCTAGGTAATAAGACTAAATAAAATAGAAACCAGGCCCAAAGTAAGTTTTAAAGCAAAGCAGAAAGTAAATTTTCAAAAAAAAAGAAACTAAAACTTCAAATTTTAATATAGAATTAAATTAAAATTAATTTCATTCTGGAAATTAATTTTAAGATATTTTTAATTTAATTCTATAATTAAATTTTAAGTTTTTAGAATTAGATTAAAATAAATTTAATTCTATAATTAAATTTAAAGTTTTAATTTTTGTTTCAAAAATTGATAATTCTTGTGTAGCGATGGAACCATATTTTTATATTAGTAAATTTATAATGTTTATGCTCCACAGAATTATATTGAGCACTGTTTTTTTTTTTAAATAAAAATAATTAATAGGAACAGCGGATTATAAATCTTACTGTTCTTTCTTATTATATATATATATATATATATATATATATATATATATATATATATATATATATTAAGAGGTCCATCCCTTTTTATACAAGTGGACCTGCTCAGTGTGTACTTGAACTGCTGCCGGTGAATACCCTGGAGTGAGACAGTTAGATAGTGAGAGAGTGAGAGTGTGAGGTAACCGCTTTGTAGGAGTCACAGTTGCGAGCAGATAGACTTAGAACAAAGTCATTCTTTGATATTGAATTTCATAGGCTGTATATGTATTATTATTGCTGCTAACCGCATTTCTGGATCCACCAACCGTATTACCAATTGTATTATTACGTCAATACATTTATTTGCTATATTTCATTCCTGCGTTTGTCATGCATTTGAGACCGGATTTCATCCCGGAATCCACAGCAAATTGGCGACAAGGGATTCGAACTCACACGAGAAGAAGAAATAGAAAAATCTTCCCTTCGTCCACAACAAATTGGCGACGAGCGATTTGAACTCACACAGGAACAACAAACGACAAAAACTTTTTCCCTTGTCGTCCACAGCAAATAAACGATAAAGAGTTAGAAGGATTAAAAATACGTAAAATTGAGTTATCATGGAAGATTTTTAAAATAATTTGGTAGAATTGGTAAAATACCAAAATGATCAACAATTACAACTACAAGAAAGAATGGAAGAAAAATGGCAAAAACAATTACTACAAACGCAAAAGGAAAATCAAGAAAGACAAATAGAGTCCCAGTAAGTAATATTGAAAGTAGCGGGTAACAAGCAACTAGATATTGAAAAAGGGCGATGTTTCGCAATACGTGGTGTTCGCCACTTCTCTTCCCTTAATTTATAATATATATATATATATATATATATATATATATATATATATATATATAATTAATCGGCATGAACCCATGCAAAGCAGTAAAGCTATTAAGGCAGGACGGGTATATACAGTGTATCTACTTTGAGTGAGTGTTTGTATATATGCCTATACGTTAATGTGTTTATGTATTTCTCTGCGCGTTTATGTGCTGCTTACTGATATGTTATTTCCTGAAAACATATATCAGTCAAACACATTAGCCCAAGCCTCCAGTCACTGACCGAATTTTAGGTCGGTTTAAATTTAATTTGCCCTTTCTCAAACGATACATTCTGCTAAAAAGACATTATACTGTATGGAATGCATTCTTTAAAATTTAAAATTGTAAACAAATATAGAAATAAAAACAAAAATGGGTTCTTCGAAATACATTGGCTAGTAATTGTGTCACTAATTCTTATAGAGCTAATACCAACACTTCCCGTCTGGCCACACTAATTTTATTTCATTTCTTAATTTACTGATTTTCCTTCATTTTTTTTCTTTCTTTCTTCTTTATTATAAACAATCTCAACGAGATTTGCTTCTGTCAATGTTTTGAAGCACAGAATTAAAACGATTAATTTTTCATCCATCTGAAGTCAAGAATGAAATCGACGCACTACAAAGGAATTGTTGCTATAAAATAGATATACTTGAAAGTTGACTCATTCGAGCTAATCCCGACAAGCCGGTCTCTCTGTATATACAGATAGATAGACAGACAGTTAGAGAGAGAGAGAGAGAGAGAGCGAGAGAGAGAAAGATAAAGAGAAAGAGAGGGAGAGAGAAAGAGAGGGTGTGCTTCGGATCGGTTTCTTTGAGGAACAGACGCTCAAAGGGAAGCGTCACCGACCAATACATTATTAACCACTACACGTCGTCTATATATATATATATATATATATATATATATATATATATATATATATATATATATATATATATATAAAAAATGACAATTGGAAAAAATCTTTGATTTTGCTGACGCGTTTCGTCTTCTGACTTTTTCAAGGCAAAAATGAAATCGAAATGATTTTGTTGTTAGAGTTACATTAAAAAAATCCAAATTTAAAAAGATAGAGGATTCTGTCTAAACCTTTTTTTTTCTGGTGAATGTAAATTACCTTTATAGTAAGGGATTTTTTTCCATGTCGACAATATAGTTAAATTCCCAGATCAATTCTGTGGACAAGACAGATTGATATAAAATGACAATTGGAAAAATTACGTTGGCAAAATTTAAGATTTTTTCCAATTGTCATTTTATACCAATCTGTCTTGTCCACAGAATTGATCTGGGAATTTAATATATATATATATATATATATATATATATATATATATATATATATATATATATATATATATATATATATATATATATATATATAATATATATATATATATATAATCATAAATATCTACAAAATATATAAAAAATAAAAATATTTATACATGCATACACACACACACATATATATATATATATATTGATAATATTAGTGGTAAATATACATATACATATGTAATCATATATCTAAAATATAATAATATTTATACATGCATAGACACACACACACACACACACACACACACACACACATATATATATATATATATATATATATATATGTATGTATAAAAAATAATTCAAAGAGGATAGAATCCAGGTAGAGCTCAATGTCCAGGACAGAGTAAGGCTTAAACACTAATATTCCATGCAATATTAGTGTTTAACACTTATATATATATATATATATATATATATATATATATATATATATATATATATATAATTTGATGCCACAGAATGCATAAATTGATTTGAAGAGAGACATTTTATTTAACATTTTTTTATCAAACACCTTTTGGCCAACACTTTATCACGGACAAAAGTTAGGAAAATTATTATTTCGAAATTCGGGTGTGGATGTATGAAATATGGTGGGAGATTTGGATGCTTCGAAAAATAAATTCACGATTAAAATATACGTAAATTCAGACAAAGATATAAATACTCCATCGTGAGTGTATAATAAGAAAATATAGATAGTCAAACCCTCCAAATAACTGCAGTGTCCGAAGAAAGTCCTCCTGCTTAAACCGGGACGGCTGCAGTAATTTAATACAAACAACTTATAAAACTTGTAAATGCTGTTTGGACCGAGCCGTATGCAAAATAGGGAATGAGTCCGTAGAAAATTGCGATGAGCGAATCGAATAGGTGTTGTCCAATCGTAGATTCATGCGCTGATTGCGAAACACCAGTGCGATTATGTTGATATAATCTGATAAATGTAGGTACGTGTTGGCCTAATCGTGATTTCAATGTTACAAAAGTTCGTCGTGTGGTTTCAGCTTCGCACTGACATCTAAATTTGTAATATAAAGAACATTACTGAGATAAGACAAACTGTCCTTCACGGTGGAGGAGAAAACAGGGCGAGACCCGAAAACAATACGCAACTTGAATGCAACTTGGCTTATTTTAGACTCGAATCGTAGTATTTATATCTTTTTTTTTAATTTACGTATATTTTAATCGTGAATTTACTTACTCTTACTTACTAATTATTGACATACTCTGAAATTCCCTCCATATCTCTATCTATAAAAGGCAGGATGTGTGTGTGTGTGTGTGTGTGTGTGTGTGTGTGTGTGTGTGTGTGTGTGTGTGTGTGTGTGTAACGAATGCACGGTCGAAATTTTCGACGGATTTGCACCAAAATTTACATGCACATGCTCCAAGTTAGTGGGAAGGCCAAGACCGACATTGCATTTCCCAACTCCCATCGATAGTGGAAATAGTCGATTTTTTCATGCTTCTACGGCACTTTTCATGTAGTTTCCGGCCATTTTCTACTGGCCAGAGTGAGAGCCTATAGCTGGCTGACACGAATAAGCAGGAAGATTCTATTGGCCCGTGTGAGAGCCAACAACTGACTGACACGAATGTTAACTATCATGCTAGCATGCAAAAAAATCGATAGTTGCATTCGTCACAAGTAGGAAAAATTTAAATCTGCATGGCACTTTACTGTAATTGGCCCATTCGCTTTCTTCAACTCAACGTTGATTCTGATTCTGCAGAACTTGGTTCGGTGTGAAAAAGTATTTGTTGTTAACATTCTTTTTTCATTCGAGTCATTTTTTTAAAGCTGATCGTTTTGTGTTCATTTTGCTTAGTTCTTTTTTCGTAACAGATTTAGAAGTAAGGCATGTAGCAACATCAACACGGCAAAGGGCACTCCTTTAAAGGCAAGGAAGGGCAAAAATATTTTAAGTCAAGTGATAGCGATTGTTGTATGAGTCGTACGATTTGTGAATCAAGCACGGTCAACGCCGGGCCATGCTGCTAGCTGCATATATTCTCACACCAATTTAAATTGTTAGAAGTGTTGGCTTAAAGGTGCTTAAGTTCAATATAAAAAAAATGAACACTAACTAAATTGTGTCTCTTCAAATCATTATATATATATATATATATATATATATATATATATATATATATAAATATCGTCAGGGAATACAGTATACCCTGACGGAATACAGGTTTCTCTGGCTCTTTACGTTTAATTATATATATATATATATATATATATATATATATATATATATATATAGTGGATACTCCTGTCGTATTCGACGTATGAGCATCAAGCAGCTCACTACCTAAAACGAGATCGCTAAACGGACCTCCGCAGATTTTGAATTCAGAGTTATCCTTCTTCTAGACCAGTTGCCATCCAAAGCTATAGACCCCAGTCTGTCCTGCATAGCTGGAAAGAGAAGTGGATTAGTACCTTTTGCAAGAGTATTTGGACGTCAGTGAATGTAATAGACGCGACTGTAATTCGAACTGGCTTTTTCTCTCTCTCTTCATATACATATATATATATATATATATATATATATATATATATATATTTAGAGAGAGAGAGAGAGGAGATTGATAGATAGTTATTATTCAACTACATATCAATATATGCCTGGATATAGAAATAAATTCCCCCATTTTCGCGTCAAAACATCCTTCTGACGGAGTTTTATAATGGAATAACACTAAGTCATACGAGCACGATTGTTTTAATGCTTCAACGAACTCGTCAAATGTGTGTATAAATTCACAGCGTCTTGAAAAATTTCTCGGGCTACTATTAATTTTTTTTTTTTTTTTTGTATATTTATATCATCGTTCGTTAACATCAAAAAAATTGTTTGTTCGCATATATAGCAACGAGAAAGAATTGGAGGGGTGAGAGAAGCATGAGAATGTCATTAGTTCCGCTTTTAATGTAAACCTATGATTTCGCATGCGCAGAGGAGCGAGTGAACGTGTACCAAACTGAAAAAAATGGCGCGTTGGCAATATTAAGAAAACTACAGCAGCCGACAAATGCAAATATTTCGATTTAAATTCTTTTTTTTTGGGGGGGATATCATTCCTTAAACATGATTTGCATTAAATATATTAGTAAATGTAAAAAACATCATATGTAAAATTTCAAAAATTGCATAGCAGCAAGATATATATATATATATATATATATATATATATATATATATATATATATATATATAAAACTATTATGATTCCTAAATTTTTCTTTGAGGATGAAAGAGGGCTTGATACTTTAATTCAATTTAATTTTAATAATTATATTGCGGTTTTGGGCTCTTGTTTTTGAGAAATGTGAGAATGTAGCGAAGGAATCATATGGAGCACTGTATTTTAAAAAATAAAATCATTATTTGCCTAACGTGTCCTCTCCTATTTTTCTACATATTTGCTTACATATATATATATATATATATATATATATATATATATGTGTGTGTGTGTGTGTGTAAAAACACACACACCTGGAAATATATTATATGGAATTTTACTAAAAATCTGATTATATATATATATATATATATATATATATATATATCAAAACATTATTATTAAAGATAAAAGATATTTTGTGTCAATTAATTTTGTTGATCAACCTTTCGCATTACTAATTTTACTGATCCTTTTCTGTCAAGGAGGAATTCCGTCAAAAATTGTCCGAAGTTCATTTCAGAAGGAATATAATACAATGTTTCGAATTTTTTCAATTAACATCAGGATAGGTAGAGACAGAGGCTGAGTCTTGTAACATAGGTAAAGAGTGATGTGATGTGGACTGTAAAATATTTTTTCCACAATGAATTTATATTTTATATATATATATTATCAAGGACAATATCTTAAATATTCATTTCAACTGTTATTTATTACGTGAATATCTATATATTCAACACTTCAGACACAAAACTTTTAGCAATATTTATTGAAGGGAAAAATTTTTGGCTGAGTCAGCCTTTTTGAAGCTTACTACTACCCATTCATTACATCGTTCTCTCCTTTCCTTTCCACACACCTTCCTCTATCTCACTTTCCGTAAGAACCTGACCATCCGTAACTTTTCCTCTTACCCTCCTTTTCTCTTCTTTTCTATCTTGTTTTCTCTTACCCCTGTCAATTTAATATACCAACCTGGGGTATTGTTTCCTTGTACTAAATGTTTTAGGTCTAAAGTGTTGAATAGATAGATATTCATGAAATAAATTATATTCGAAGTGAATATTTAAGGTTTTCTTCTTATTTCTTCTTCTTCTTATTATTATTATTATTATTGTCTGTAGTCTCTCTCCCTCTCTCTCTCTCTCTCTCTCTCTCTCTGTGTTATCCATACCAGTCATAATTTGGTAATATATATATATATATATATATATATATATATATATATATATATATATTTAAAATTTTTTTTTATTTAGGCAGAAATCCTTCTTTCATG